GCCCACTCCCCTCACCTCCCCGACAGCCGTAAAAGTTAAAACAAAATTTGAAAGGATGATGACGTGTGGAAGGCAGCTCGACGCCCGCCGCCGCACGCATGTTGGCCTCTAACCACGGACGAATCAGACGGGCGGGACCTGGAATAGGCGACCTGAAAGCAGGTACCATAAATGCCGGTTGCTCTACTGCCCTTCTTGCAGCGGAGAGGAATAGAGGGCAGTGCGGCAGATGTCCCAACTCGGACTCTATTTCAGTCGAAATATGCAAATACAGTTACTCTCGAGTCGTGAACCAGCTTACTTGACTGTGCCAGATTTAGAGATGCAGAAAAATCTCGCAACGACAGTTAGTGCTCAGTTTTGCAAACGCAAATGAAACCACCGAAACCGCTCTTCTATGCAATGCAGGAAAAAAATTCCCATTCTAAGAAATACTGTCGTGTGTGAAGTTAAGTGATAATTATACCCAGTAGTTGTTAGTTTCTTGACGGGAAAAAACGTGGAACCAACTATATCTCATTTGGCGAAGTTCAATGACTGTAGAAAAAAAACGCCGTGAAATACGGATGTTCCTTTGCCTTACCCTTCAAGATCCCATCACAACGGAGGAAATGTTGATGCTCCGGACATTTCACGCCGATAAACAGGGGGGATGACTATAACAGATGCGTCTTCGTCGCGTTATCATCCACTTCACGGCGGCCAAGGTCTGCTACACCTATCTTCCCTCGTCCCAACCTGTTCTCAAGGGCTACGACACACACACACACACCGTGACGGAATGATGCGACGTGAACGGACAATGACTCAACAACGGACGTCTTCGCTATTACTAATAGGCTGGAACAGCCTCCTATCGGTTCTCAGTGTTCTCTACCAAGAGAACCCACCCGGAATCGACATAAACTACTGCAGAAACGACAAATAACTAGTCAAACATCAGCCATCACAAAAACGGTCAAACCTAGACAATGCATGACCCTCCCCCTTCCCCCCCCCTGTCCGGGGACTGTGCACAGCGCACGCAGACTATGAGGCGGATATGCGCAGCCAGCTGTATGGACTGTTTCGTCTCGGGATGTGACAACTGCGAACTAGTCACATGAACCTATGCAGTAGAGCAGACCCACGACAACTGTTTAGGGTAGCAGCGATAGACGAATTTCGGATTATCTTGGCATTGCTGCACACTATCAAATCGGACCAGTAAAACCAGATGAGCGTTTGGCAAACTACAACCAACATGTCACTTATCTCTACACTAAATTAAGAATGCGCAGGCATTTCATCATAGCGTTACTAGGCGGCCACTAATTATGTCAACTATTGCATTCATCTTCATCCTAGGCTGTTGAGGATCCGCCTGCATTCAACAACCCCAAAAAACCTCATGGCCTGGGTAGAGAAAGTCTGCGGTGGATGCCAGGCAAGTTGATTCTCACTTAAAACTAATTTCCGCACAAGTCAGCCTCGCCTGCGCTCCCAATGCTGTTGTGGAGCATACGATGGTTGAGCTACCACTGCAAGGGACGGTGACGCTGACAAAGCAAAGCGAAAAATTTACCTAAGCTGCTTTATCTCACAGGCAAAGCGAGAGGAAGGAGTCTCGGCAAACCGAGGTCACAGAGTCGAACGGGACACAGAGACGGGTGCAACTTTACACAAACGGCAAAAATGTCGGGTGTTAATGAGGACATGCCACG